ACTTTACTGCCTAGGCTTGCTTTTGAACCACTGTCTTTAGATCTCAACCTCCCCAAGTAGCTACTAGGGTTATCGGCATGAGCCATTAGCAGACAGCAGATACATCTTTTATCCTGGATTTCCTTTGCTAGTATTTTGTTCAGGTTTTTGCTAATTATATTTATGATTGGCCTGTAATTATAGTTTCTTGAAAGGACCTTTGAAGCTGAGTATCAAGGTTAAATTAGCTCATAAAGTGAAACAAGAGATTGAGAATATAGCTTAATAATACTTTAATGTGTGAGGCCTGTGGTTGGATTCCCAGTGCTACCAAAAAAAGAAAAGAAAGAAAATAAAAAGGTATACTGAATTGATATGGTGAATGAAACCCTTTGTACAGCTACATAAAAATAACTATTTCTTTTTTTGCCAGTCCTGGGGCTTGAACTCAGGGCCTGAGCACTGTCCCTGAGCTTCTTTTTGCTCAAGGTTAGCACTCTACCACTTGAGCCACAGCACCACTTCTGCCTTTTTCTGTTTATATGGTACTGAGGAATCAAACCCAAGGTTTCATGCATGCTAGGCAAACACTTTACCACTAAGCCACATTCCGAGTCCCAAGATAACTTTTAAGCCAGGCTGGTGGTTCACACCTGTAATCCTGGCTACTCAGAAGGCTGAGATCTGAGGATTGTGGCTCAAAGTCCACAAAACTCTTATGTCAAATTAACCATCAAATAATCCAGAAGTGGAGCTGTGGCTCAAGTGGTAGAGCAATAGCCATGAGCAAAAAAAGCTCAGGGACAGCCAGGCCATTACTTAAAGCCCCAGGACACACACACACAAAGCCCCAGGACACACACACACACACACACACACACACACACGGTAATTTTTAAAAAATAAGATATACTAAATTTTTATGATTATTCAGTTCAAAGTATTTTATAATTGTTCTTATAACTTCTTTGGCCTTTTGATTGTTTACAAGGGCATTGTTTAATTTCTAGCATGGTTTCCTGGCACAGACAGCAGTTACCAGACCCTCAGTGATCCTTAATAAATACCTTTTGTGTGTAAGGCTTGACCTTCCTCCCTAACTGCAAGTGCAATGTGCATCTTTGTCAGTAGAGGGCACTGGAGAGACAGGAAGAAAAGCATTGCTCCCTGGTTCCAGCAAGAGCTCATCTGCTCTGCTCCAGCTTTGTGCCAGGAGGCAAAGCCCTGGACAGTTTAGACATTGTCTAGGCACCTTGTTGTGGTCATCTTGTCAACAATGCTATAGATTTGCACACTTTGCATCCAGGCAGCTTCCTAATTCTGCCCACTAGTCCCTGCCTGCTTTGGTTACCTACATCTTCAATGTTTTTTCCCAAAATTCTCCAGCTGTGGTCACCATGCTCCTACAGCAGCTTTCCAAATCCCTCAGTATGTCTGCCCACCAATGTAGGCCTTCTGCTGCCCAGAAGACTTCTCCTAAGGCCTCCATGTGCGATCTGGGTAGGGCAAAGCACAGTAAGCACCTTTGAACTCTTGCTTTCCTCCTCATGGAGTCTGCACCACGGGCTGGGCCCCTGGTGGCATGCTTCCCGAACTCCTCCCAGTGTGGGTGTTATTGTTCTGCCCTGTGCCTACAGGTGCCATTCTTAATGCAACTGTGCCACTGCCAACCAGCCTCAACTTGCCTGTAGCCCATGGGTTGTTTCTTTCCACAGCTATCAACCAGCTGTGGGTTTAGCAAACCCATGACCTTCGCCCACGCTCAGTGGGCTACGGTGAATGCCATCCTGTCTCTCCTAAGTCACGTCCCCCCCCCTTTTTTTTTCAGTCCTGGGGCCTGAATTTTGGCCCTGGGCGCTGTCCCTCAACTCTTCAGCTCAAGGCCAGTGCTCTACCACTTGAGCCACAGCACTACTTCCAGCTTTTTCTGTTGATGTGGTGCTGAGGAATTGAACCCAGGACCTCATGCATGAGAGGCAAGCACTCTACCATGGAGCCACCTTCCCAGCCCCTCCCCTTTACATTTTTAAAGTCCCTGATCTATCAGAGTTTAATTATTCTGTGTGTGTGTGTGTGATAGGTGCTGTTCCTGAGCAATTTTGCTCAATGCTAGCATTCTATCACTTGGAGCCACAGCACCACTTCCAGTTTTCTGGTGGTTAATTGGATGTAAAAGTCTAGCAGACTTTCCTGCCCGGACTGCCTTTGAACCATGATCCTCAGATCTCAGCCTCCTGAGTAGCTAGGATTACAGGCATAAGCCACTGGTGCCTGGCTAATAATTATTAATACTAACCTTGCCATGTTTAAACTGTGTGGTTCAGTCTCCTAATGGCCTCAGTCCGAGTCACCTGAAAGTTTTTCTACCTTACCCTACAGGATAGAATTATGTTTTGGAACCCAGGCTGGCCTTGAACTCAAGATCCTCCTGCCTCAGCTGGAGTGCTGTGATTACAGACATGTGCCAACATGCCTAGCTCATGCTTTTTATGTTGTTGTTTTGGTGACTTGAACTCAGGGCTTGGGCACTGTCCCTGAGCTCTTTTGCTTAAGGCTAGCACTCTACCCCTTTGAGTCACAGCTCCACTTCCTGTTTTCTGGTGGTTCACTGGAGATAAGAGTCTCATAGCAGGGCGCCAGTGGCTCACTCCTATAATCCTAGCTACTCAGGAGGCTGAGACCTGAGGTTCACAGTTCAAAGCCAGCCAGGCAGGAAAGACTGTGAGACTCTTATCTCCAATAAATCACTCACAAAACAGAAAATGGTACTATGCCTCAAGTGGTAGAGTGCTAGCCTTGAGCTGAAGAGCTGAGGGACAGCGCCCAGGCCCAGAGTTCAGGCCCCACGACTGACAAAAAAAAAAAAAGTCTCACAGACTTTTCTGCCTGGGCTGAGTTTGAACTACAATTCTCAGATCTCAGCCTCCTGAGAAGCTAGGATTACAGTTGTGAGCCACTGGCTCCTGGGTGCTCATATATTTTATTCTTTTAAATCTGTATAAGCCAGGTGCCAGTGGCTCATGCCTGTAATTCTAGCTACCCACAAGCTGGGATCTGAGGATCACAGTTCAAAGCCAGTGTGGGAAGGAAAGTCCATGAGACTCCAGAAGTAAAGCAGAGACTGGCAAGGGTGAGGGTTTAGGTAGGACAGCATTTTTTAATGTGTGTGTGCCAGCAGGGGGGCTTGAACAGAGCTTTGATATCTTCCTTTCCTTTTTTCCTTCAAGGATGGCATTCTACCACTTGAGCCATGCCTCCATTTCCAATTTTTTTGCTAGTTAAGAGATGAGTCTACTGAGGCTAGCTTCAAACCAACATCTTTATAGATTTCAGCCTTTTGAGTAGTTAGGATTACAGGTGTGAGCCACCAGAACCTGGCTAGAATTTTGACCACTGGATGGAGAGGGTATCTGATTGCATTCTCCATGAACAGGCTGGGTCAAGTCAGGGGTCTGTTCTTTGTCAAGCTCTGGATTGCTCACCAGGTCAAGTTTATATCCCAGAACACTTACTTCAGTGTCATGGCAGATAAGCTGTCTGTAATATTGGCTTGTTTTTGAAAGGCCTAAAGAAACACTTATCTCCTAAGCTTTTCTTGTTGGTCTTTATCTTTGGCTGGAACTTGAGAAGAGTTTTATAGTAATATAGGTCTTGCTGTCATTTTATTCTGTAGTATCCTGTTGTTGGGGTACAAGGAATCAAACCCTCACATTAAGCAAGTACCCTCACATTAAGCAACCACTCTACTATTGAGCGACATCTAGTCCTATTGCACTATAGATCTTCTGGAAATGCTTAGTTTTCTAGAATGCAGGAAGACTGTTTATTTACTACATTACTGTTTTTGTAAAGAAGAGAACTCAGGGTCAGCCAGGTGGAAAGATGCTGGTGGCAGGTATGGAAGTCACTGGGAAACTTCCCTCCCTCTCTCTCTGCAGGTGGGGGTACTGCACTCTAGTACCTGCACATCTCCCCCAACCCAAAAGCTCCTCAGCCTCCTGCTTTAGGCTTTCTTTGGTGTTCCTATCACATGACTTGCTTTAGCCAATGGGACTCTGAGGCTTAAAATGGGGATATCCAATGAGACTTGTGCTCTTCTACTCCTCACAGATCCCAGTCTACCTGCTGGAGGGTAAGTCATAGGATCCAGGGATGGCATTCTACCTAGGTAAGCCCAAACTTCCAGGATACCACACTGGTCACAGCTACCCACAAATACAAGGAGCAGACCCAGCTGAAATCACCCAGGATCAGCATGGGTCTGTTGAGCCCTGTGATCTGAAAATCAAATGATGTAGTCATACGTCATTGTGGTTTATTATACAATACTCTGGCAATAGAAAGTAGCACAGAAATTTTAAAAAATCTCCTTTGCCCAAATAGGCTAAATGGCTAGGTATCAGAGTACATTTTCTTTTTCTTTCTTCTTTGGTGCAGGTAAGGGGCTTGAACTCCAGCTTGCTTGTTTTTTGTTTTTCTTCTTTTTTGTTTTTCTCTACCACTTAAGCTGTGGCTATTTTTGTGGTTAATTGGGAGATAAGAGTCTTAAAGAGACTTTTCTGCATGTGCTAGTTTCAAACCTCAAAAATCTCAATCTCTTGAGTAGCTTGGAAATCAGGTGTTAGCTACCAGTAGCCAGCCCAAACACATATTGAATTTCTACAAAAGTACATTGGCTCAAAATGGGCTTCGATACATATCTTTTTTTCTTTTGGTCAGTTGTGAGGCTTGAACTTGGGGCCTGAGTGATGTTCCTGAGCTCTTTTGCTCAAGGCTAGCACTCTAGTACTTTCAGCTACAGCTTCACTTCCAGTTCTTTTTTTGGGGGAGGTTAACTATATTTTTTTTTGTCTTTTCTTTTTTGGTACTGAGGATCGAACCCAGGACGTTGCACTTGCTAGGCAAGCGCTTTGCCACTGAGCCACATCCCAGCCCTTACTTCCAGTTTTTGAATGGTTAATTGGAGATCAGAGTCTCATGGGGACTTTTCTGCACAGGATGGCTTTGAACCACAATCCTTAGATCTCAGCCTCCTGAGTAGCTAGGATTACAGGGGTGAGCCACCAGTGCCCAGCTTGTATTTGACCTATGGCTCCTTCTGCCCACTTGATCAAATAGATTGTGAGCTTGTCACTTTATATGCCTCTTAACCATGCAGAGAACTAGCTAGAGATGCCATCATTTATGAAAAAAAAGTTTATTTCCTGTTTATAAATGTAAAAAAAGTACCTTAGGTATAAAAATCTAAATGTCTGAGGGTGCTCAGTCAGGACCACTATAACCATCACTCTTTGCAGTTTTTAGTCAATCAAGTATGTCATGGGGGAGTGGGAGCCAGAAGGCTGCTGTCCCAGACAGAACCAAGGCTCCAAGGTTGGGAGCCCTGAACTTTGCAGCAAGGAGCCCAGAAAGCATTACGTACTAAAGACTGTGGAGAACACTGAATTTGCATGAGGAATGCTCTTCTTTCTTGAATGATAAACACAATCGGCCTGAGCCTATCTGCGGCCAGCTCTGCAGTGTGGCACCTGTGGCTTTTAGCAGGAAGGAATGGCATCCACCTTGCAGTGTGACAAGAGGCTGTCACCTTCGGATTTGCATGAACTCCCTGCGCAGCCATAGAGAGTCCTGGTAGAAGCGGGGGTCGCCCAGTCTCATAGCTGTGCGTTTGTAGAAGTAACAGTACAGCACTGCCACTGAGAAAAAAGTAGAAAGAAGCTTCAGAATGGCCCTGAGAGGACCAAACCTTACAAGTCTGAGACCTGCCCCATGTTCCCACTGTCTCTGACCAGAGGGCAGTGCTCTTTCCCATCCATACATGACCATCCCAACCATCCCAGGCCAGCTATAATGAGGCCGGGAAGCCAGGAGCAAGGCTCACTGCCAAAGACCCTTCTGGACCCCAAGTGAGCCCCAGGTGGCTCTCTGATCCTTACCTAGTCTCTGGAATACAAACAGCGTTTGAAGTCCATCTGTCCAAACAAAGCTGTTGGGGCTTTTCCAGCGTAACTTCTAAAGGAGAGATGAAAGGTTAATGGCCAAACAAGGCCTGAACATCTCCCTGGCTGAGCTGCAGTGAAACCAGTTGGTTGAGAATCATTGCTAATCTCACCTCCTAGTTTATAAGGCCAAGGAGTGTTTGGTCTGCTACACAGGCAACATCCTTTAGCCCACAGGGAAGAGCGCCGAGGCATTTACTCCCTTCCCCTCGAGTGCCTTTGCCAAGGAGAAATGACATGCAGTATCTTTAGGAGTCCAGCTGTCCAGCCTGGAAAATGTCAGCCTCAGCTCCTGTTAGATAAACGCTCTGGTGCTCTCAGGGCTTAAGCAGATCAACAGGAAACAGAATAGAACCCCAGGCAGGAAGCTCCCAGAGCCTCAGCATGGCTCTGTGTCTCTCATGGGAGTTCCAATTCTCTCCAGGGGATTCCAGAGCACAGGGTCCAGCTAAGAAGGAAGTTTTAGGAAAGAAGCAACTAGAGACTCTGAGGTTTTGCTTTGTTTGTGGGCCTGCAGATCTAGCCCAGGACCTTGCATATGTGAGGCAAACACTATCACTGACTGAGTTCCAGCTCCAGCCCCAAAGCCTGAGGTTTTAATGTGTTCCATGAAAATGAAAGCATGAGACCCATGAGATGACCAAAGAGAAGGAAGAATCTGTGAAAGGGAAGAAAGATAAAACCATGATAACTGGATTGGCTCTACAGCTCTTGCAAGCTAAAAGGGGTCTGGTTCTCCAATGTAAGAATATGGACATGGCAGAGGGCATGAAGCACCCAAATGCAGGCAGCATTCCTACACGGCAACAGAAACAGATACTATCCACACCACAGCCTGCAGGACCTGATGCCCACGAATTTCCTGTATCATGAGAAAAGCCATTCAACTTCTGGTGAACTGCCTATTTGGGACAATGGTAAACAATGTTCCAGAGTTACGGGACTTTTTATTTTATTTTGTCAGTCATGGGGCTTGAACAGAGGACCTGGACATTGTCTCTGAGCAAGTTTGCTCAAGGCTAGCACTCTACCACTTGAGCCACAGCTCTGCTTCCAGCATTTTGCTAGCTAATTGGAGATAAGAGTCTCACAGACTTTCCTGATTGGGCTGGCTCTAACCTGTGATCCTCAGCCTCATATTATAGCTGGGATTATAGGCAAAAAGCCACTAGAGTTTGACTGAGTTACTGGACCTTATCTAAAAGTCCAGTAACTTCCAAAGAAGTTTGGGAAAAAGTGTCCGTGACAATTTTACTTGCTTAGCACTTCAGCTTTCCTTTTGTCTCATTCCTATCAAGGAATTTTATTGTGTAAAAGAATGGTTTGGGGTTTCCAGAGGAATGCTCTTCCTGCTTCTTTAAAAATTCAAGAATTAGCCGGGCGCTGGTGGCTCACGCCTGTAATCCTAGCTACTCAGGAGGCTGAGATCTGAGGATCGCGGTTCAAAGCCAGCCCAGGCAGGAAAGACCGTGAGACTCCTATCTCCAGTAAACCACCAGAAAACCAGAAGTGGCGCTGTAGCTCAAGTGGTAGAGCGCTCGCCTTGAGCTGAAGAGCTGAGGGACA